ACTCAGTCTTACATAGGGATTTAGCAATTCCCACAGTTGCTGAACTCATTGGGCGACACAGTTCAAGATACGCGGACAGACTTGCAGCGCATCCTAACCATCTCGCAAGCAACCTGGCTATAAACAACAATAGGCGAAGACTGAAGAGATTGCATCCTCTAGACAATATTAGAACTAATTAAGATAGTAGCTACAAGTGCAGAATAATTGGCATATCTGCCCTCCCATTAGTTAAGGTTTAGAGCTAAATGCGCTATAGAGTCTAAGACAATAAGCTGCAACAAAATAAAGAAATAAAAACGAAAAAAAAAAAAAAAAAAAAAAAAAAAAAAAGGTTAATATTTATTTATAAATAAGTATTATAGATGCGAGATGTTTGTTCGCTTGTATTTAGAACGCACTTGCCAGAGAGTGAGCGGCAGATCTCGCGGTATCATTTGTTGTACTCTCCCCCTCTCTTCCTCTCGCTTGCTCTTTCCTTCCATCGTGCACAATTATTTCAGTATTTGCACGTTTCATTTTATTGTATTTGCCAAATGTAAGAGAAAACAAAAATTTATTTTTTTCCTTCTGCTTTGCGACTTTGCACACACACAGATTATTGTTTTCATTGTGTTCCGAACTTGTTATTATTTTCTTGTTTTTTGTTATTGTTTTACAAAATGCGCCGCTAAATACATAAATGGAGCTGCGATAGTTAAATAGCGAGCAAAATATTTTTGATTGCGAGCTGCTCTCTTTTTTGTTCTTGTTTCCATCAGGCCGCTACGACTCTCTCTCTCTCTTGTTTTTTGAGTTCTCTGTTTTGTGTTTGTTGTTTCTTGTTTGCATGCTATCTCGCTTTATTGTGTTGCCATTTGATAAAATATGCAAGAGCGCGGCAGCTGCATTTTTTCACTTTTTTTGCAGTTTTTACTAAGACGCAGTTCGACTCGGCACATGGCCACGCCCCTCGCATCTACACCCTGCGCCTGACAAGTGCCTGCTCCAAGTGTCAAATTGATTACGCAAACGACATTGGTTAAACGCAGTTAATGAATGGAATTACTTAAGAGGGGCAGGTGGAGCGGAGCGGGCTAAGAACAGGGGGTTACGTTTTATTGCATTTTTATTTACATTTATGAACTTTGATTGGTCTTTAGTAACTTACATATAGGAATGTGGACAAGCACCGTTAGCTAAAGCACTCTTCTAATGATATAATAGTAATTATAGCTACATAAGAGATCCCCCCCCCCCGCGACTTACACTGATAAAAACTAATGTCACATACACTTCAACTAAAGCTTAAAATCAGCTGATAATATAGATTAATAGGAAATTGCAATGATAAGGAACAATAGATAGAGAGCGAGGGCGGAATAGCAAGACAAATAGAAAAAGGAATTGAAATTACATATCTATAAATTTTGCTCTTGCAATTACAACAATTCAATTATAAAAACTATAAAATATTGAGCCAAAAATATATATATATATATATATATATATATATATATATATATATATATATATATATATATATATATATATATCAACACTTAGAATCAACGCCAATAAAGAAATAATATATATGTACATATACACAGGTATACACTTATATATATAAATTTATATTTATATACCCCTCAGAACATACGTGCAAGTTTTTTCATTTATTTTTTTTTTCAAGCAAAATATAAAAAAAACTCATTGACGAACACTAACAAAACTTGGCACAGGTTCAATGGCCAATCGTTGCACAGTGGGCGCTATGAACATATATTCCTTAAAAAAATCTAAATATAACCTCAAGTATATCAAAGGAAATAGTGCAAACAAATTTATTCATTTGATCAACTATTTTTATTTTGCTAAGCTTTTCGTGTATTCGCCCCACTGTGCTTCACTTGGCTTAAGCGGAGACCACGTTGAACGTTGCCACAGACCGCGAAGACAAATTTAAAATTCCACAAATGTCATTTTAGTACTTTTTGTTATTGAAGAGGAAGTGGCTGGTGCGAAGGTGTTGCAATATGGCAGCATACGAAAGAAGAGAAGGAGAGGAAGGGGAGAGAGCGCGCGGTGGTCAGTGAGAGAAGGAGGAGGAATGGTCGCGAGCTGAGGCCTGCAGGATGGCAGAACGCGCAAGTAGAAGAGAAAGGGAGAAGTAGTAGGAAGAGAGCGAGTGGGTGAGAGAAGGCGAGCGCAGCGAAGGAGACAAGGAAAGCAGCAGGGCAGAGAGACTAGGAGCAGATCCAAAAGGAAGCAACTGTCCACTGACAATTCCTACGTGCTGCATAAATTAGCCAAAAGACTCGTAGAGCACAGACTGGAAATAGGCAGCACTATAAATAGAAATGTGTGCAATTCCAGTTGTGCACTGATAAAAATGTAAACTAGCAAAACGTAGTAATAGTAGCAGTAGTAGAAGTAGTAGTAGTAGTAGTAGTAGTAGTAGTAGTAGCAGTACTATTACTAGTAGTATAATAAGTAGTAGCCGTAGTGGTGGTAGGTGGCAATAGCAGTAGTAGTAGGTAGTAGTGATAGTAGTATACTAAGTAGTAGCAATATTAGTATTAGATAGCAGTAGTAGTGGTTGTATTACTAATTAGTAGTAGTCGTTGCTGTTTTGCTGTGCTTGTTGTTCACTTCACTTTTTGGCGTTCATTCGACTCATATTTCAATGCAAACTGTGTACTTTCTTTGCCCAATCAGCAGTTTCGTTCAATTTTCCATAGAACACGAATCACGCTCACACATCAATAGTCGTTGTGGTTTTAGTGTACGTGGCATTTACTTTATCAGGCTTTTTATATTGTGCCGCGTAATCGGCAGAAAGAAAAGGGATCATAACGACACTTAGATAGCCAAAGAGAACATCCGACCAATCGAACAATCGACGAAGTCTCCAATAGTCACAATTATAAACAATAACAAAACTCGTCTTCCTAAGGCCAACATCATCAGAATATATGAAATGAGTAAATATAGCTTTATACTTTATATACATATAGCTTTTATGTATATACATATATATATATATATATCATATATCGCTCGATCATCAGATTATATTTAAGGTGTTAAAATACAGAGCAGTACGACAAACAGTCTAGAGCGAAAACTGGGGGAAGTGAGTCGAATCACGTGCATGACGCACTGCGCAACGTGCGAATGCCAATTCGAATTGGAACTCTATTTCGAGTACGAATTCTATGGAAAAATGATAAGACTTCCTACTTGACTGAAGTTTAAAATAACTATTGACGACTTAACCAATCTGATTTTATTTTAACTTATAAAAGGTCTTATACAAATAAGTTACTTATATTAAATTGAAATTGCCCAAACGTTAAAGAGAACTTATAGAATAATTTGAATAAATGTCATTGACCCAGAGCTTATTTGATAGCTGGCAATAATTACTGTATACAGATATATATATCTATATAAACATCTATTATAGATAACATTTCATAAGAATTCAAATTCGTTAGCTGATTTGCTATTTCGATAGGTCAGCAAAAGGAAAAGTAAAACTTAAAGAGAAAGCGAAAGTCTGCAGAGCATCGAAACTTGGATCAACGCCTCTCTCTGCCTGTGAGAGCGCGAGAGAGTTAGTGTAATGCTGCACTATTCATGTGTGAAAGAGACTGAAAGTCTGTGTAACTGTTCTACTATTTGCATGCGTGTGTGAGAGCTGAAATTACTCTACTTATTACGTGTGTGTGTGAGTGAGGAATTGAGTCTCTTCTCTATTTACATACACACGTCTGTGTGCGTGTGTATTTAACTGTTCTATTGGCCTACGCACGAAACTCTCTACGAGCGTGTATGACTGCACTGCTTCTTTCGTTTGAATGAATATGTCTGTAATGTATGTATGCTAATGGCTGTCTTCCCGTGTGAATTTAACTGCTCTTCTATTTACGTATGAAAGAATGTAAACAAAACGTAAAAAACGTTTTGGCCACTTAAAAGGAAAGATAAAAGCGCATTAATTGCAGCTGCCATGGACCACAATACACAGAGGGAGAGTGAAAGAGAGAGACAGAGAGAGAGAAATGGTAAACGAAACGAACATGTGTAATATTTCATGTATTTATTAAGTAACATGCACAACAAGTGGCAACAGCAATGCAAACACAGCAAACGACGATGACGACGTTGGCCACTGACCGACACACGGCCACAGACACACACACAAAGAGAGAAGCACACATAATAAACGAAAAATTAAAAAAAAAAAACAGAATACAACAAGTAAAGCAAAGCAAACAACGCAAAATAAATGTGAAAGAAAGAAGAAAAGAGAATCATGACACATGAATGCTGTCTCCGTCGCTCCTCATCATTCACTCTCTTTGGCCATGAACTTGACCAATTTCTTTGTTTGCTGCAAAAAGCACGCAATAATAGTGAACCGGAACCGGAATCGTATGTTGGAACAAGTCAAATAATAGAAACTAGTTTATGTTTTGTAATAGCTAAAATGGCATTATGCGAACTCATAGTGTGAACTTTGATTCAGTGAAAGCAAACAAACTGAGTTGTTCGGAATTAAGAGAATAAGTTCATATTGAAATGAACTATTGATCAAGAACGAAATTAAACGCTCAGTCCAACAAACAGTTAGCTATTCATGAATTAGTTCTTCTGAACTATTCAACTGTTTATAATGAGCGACTGTACAACAAAATTAGTGGAAGTATGACGATGTCGAACCAGTAGATATTGCTCAACTGCTGAACTAAATGAACTAGTTCATAACATTAACAATATTAGTCATAATACGCTATTCATGATCGACTTAGAATTTATCACCATGAGCTAGTTTATGACATGATGAACCAAATGAACTAGTTCTTATGAACAATATATTTTATAATGACTAATAATTTTCAGAACACGTTATACATGATGCATTGCTTATGAACTTGTGCATCAAATAACCAATATAGTTCAAGAAGTCCTGAACTAAATGAACTAGAGAAATATAAAAGTATCATAGCACTCACCTTCCAGCCGGCGCTGCTATTCGAGTCGCCTTTGTCCTTAAAGTATGAAACATTCTGCACCATCCACTCGTAGATTTGACTCAGAGTCAGGCGCTTGTCGGTGGCAGAGCCTATGGCATGCGTTATGAGATCGGCATAGGACAGATTGCCCCAGGCATTGCGACGGGATGAGTTCTTTTTGGCCGCATTAGCGTTCTGCATGGCCAGCTGTGGATCTGGAGTGCGAATCGAGTGAAGTCATTGAGTGAGTAACAAAGAGAGAGAGAGAGAGTTGAGTGAGAGAGAGAGGGAGACTTACCACCGTTTGCCAGCTGCTGATTGCTAGCTTTGGTGCTGTCCAGCTCGTCGACTGGCTCGGGCCGTGGACAAGGCCAAGTGTTGGAGCGGGCGCGTGTTTGGGGCTCGAAGCCCCCGTCTGTGGGCAAGTCCCCAACCAGTTGATCCATATGCAAGCCGTTATCGGAGCGAGGCACATTTGGCCATTCCTGTGCAAAGCCTTCCATAATGGCAAACAGTTCGTCCGGGAGTTGCAGCTTTCTGGCTTTTCTCTCACAGCTCGCCCAACTCAAAGCTGCCAACGGTAAGAAAGAGACGGCAATAGCGTGAGTTAGTTTCAATTGAATTGCAGCTAAATTGAGCTTTTATCAAATGAATTCTCCACCCCCTCCAAACCCACCCATTCAATTGATCTGCTAATGTCAATTGCCTTCGTTTGCAAATTCCATTAAATCATTTTATCATTATACGAGAACACGAACTAGCTTTTACGTCTAATGGCCCAAATGAGCTCTGACTGCTTCGGGACGGGCATTTAATTATAATACTCAGTCATGATTAGCATGGCAATATCCACAGACCTGCAACATATTGAAAACATGCATGAAACAAGTCTAGGCTCTAGACGGGAGTGACTGACTGGGAGATACCCTGAGCCCAGCTGAAACTTCATGGTCCGAATCTTAGGAATATACAGAATTTTCTCAATACACTAAATGTTCTATATATCTGAAACTATTATTTTAGAAAGCTTCAATCGACCCCAAATTCAAAGAATACTTATATACAACACTATATATAACACTATATATACCAAATGTCGAGTTTCATATATATAAACACAATTATATTCATATACAGATTAACAGATTAACTCGCATAGAGGAATGAGGTCTTCATATATATATATATATATATATATATATATATTTATATATATATATATATTTCTGTGTGCAATCACATAGAATCTCGCGCGACCAGAACTGACAATGGAACTGATGATAATGCAATTGATCTAGTCTAGAATGCATTCCTCAATTTAACATTATTAGAAATGTGCATGATATATAATGCGGTTATAGTAAGTACATTTGGCATGCCATAGCCAGACAGCCAGAGAGAGAGACAGATATATTATTATCAGAATAAATAAAAAAAGGCTCGAAAAATGAAATAAAATTTTTCTATCGATTTAAATGTTTCATATATAAATGTAGAAATATATATAAAAAAAATTTATATATCTATATCTGTTTGTATGTCTGTATTATCAAAAGTCTATTGACACTGGCCGCGCTGTCTGCATGAGCACGCTGATAAGCCAACTAAAGATTGACTGCAGCTTGACGAACTTTGCACGAATTTCAAATGCTGTTATCTCTCTCCTCATTCACACTCTCTCTGCTCTTCGTTGCCCTTCTCATCTTTATTTTACCCCCAAAAAATGTGCCTGCGATTGTTCGCTTATCAGCAAAAGCTTTGAACTCAATTTTTATTCAGTTTGCGACTCTCTTAAATTGCCTACAATATCAGACGCCCACAGCACACAAGAGCACGAGCAAGAGCACACTCTTTAAGCGCTTTGTAAGCTAATTTCAACTGTGTGTGAGCCGCTCTCACGCACTAAGCAAACAAAGAGCGCGCACACACACACGCACGTAAACACGCATGAAGCTATGAAATTTTAACGAATGAGGCACAAAACAACGTCCGTGGATCGTCACAAAGCTTTTGTTTATCAAACTGGGTATATTGTTTGTTGTAAGCTTTGTAAGAGGCAGAAGGTAGAACTCAAAGCAACTACTATAAATATTTCTATATAATATTCAGCAGGGTCAAGAGCCACATTTGCTGCATTTGTTCGTCTGGCTGTCTGTATACGTAGCAAGAGTATCAGAGTATGAGTTTAAGAGACTCCTTTTATATAACATAGCCAACTTAAGTCGATTGCGAATTATCTATGAATTTTTCTATTACCATTAAATCGATTTAAAATTTATATATATATCTATACATACATATATGGATTGCTGCAGCTTATCTACTAGTCGTGCATACCCCTTCTATATTACTCTTGCTTGCTTTTTTATAGTTTATTTTCATTTACTTTTTTTGCTGCTTAACATTTCTTTTGATTTGGTTTTAAGTTCGCATAGGCCTAAGTCTATGTGGCTGTCTGTGTGTGTGTGAGTGTGTGTGTGTATACGTGTGTTTGAGCATGTAGGAGGCAACGCTGGCAATGGCTATGGCGACAGAGAAATACCTTGAGGCAGCGCAGAGCACAGAATACGGAAGTGAAACAAACTAAAAAAAGGTTGTTCTTGTTAAGTATACGCCTTGTGTATACGAAAGAGAGAGAGAGAGAGAGAGGTGCAGAAGCAGAGAGAACTTGTGTGCTTGGATTCTACCTGTGTAGAATCTTCAGCTACCAAAAAAACTTGTGAAATTTCCAAATGAATTCCAACAAAATATTTTGAACTTGAACTAATTCCTAACTGTGAATAATGTGTTTTTGTATTGGAAATTAGATTTTACATTTTCATTTTCATTTTCACACTTTTAACAGCTGGAAAAACCAGCAGAGCTGAACTGCACCTCAAACTGACCTTAGACACAGTGCGAAAAAGTGGCGAAAACAGAAATAACAAAACGTAAAAACGTACAGCGAACACAATTTTACATACAAACATACCTATGTACGTACGTATGTAAGGTAATATATTTAATAATAATTTGTCAACATTTTAATTGTCGCTCTGTTAACTATTTTTAGCTGCACCTGCATTAGGCATTTACAATTGCCTAACCATTCAAAAATAGATCAGAGTGATGTACACACCTACACACATACATACATCCATACATATGTATGTATGTATGTACATCAAATGCGAAAAATTGCGTCGCATAAGCGAGAAGAGCCCAGCGCAGCCCAATGGCTACTTGTTGCTGCCAGTGAGAGTGCAGTCGATGGCAACACACGACTGGCAGTTACCCTATACATATATATATATATATATATAAACCAGTAGAAGTACATAAATATGCACAATAAGTCTTAAAAAGTTGCATCTGTTATCGAGTTTTATTGATTTTAATTAAAAAAGTTATCGATCTGGTGAAACCAACTTGATCTAAGGTCTTTGAAAGCGACGCTTGCATTTATCTTACTTATACTATTAAGATCTTATACCTACTATCTTAAACTCTAATACCCTAGTTTATCCTACACGTATTCTCACTATCGTACGACGCATATAAATACAGTTCTAATACTCATAATCTTATAATCCACCACTTTTATAAAAACAACTCTTATACTCATATACAGAAAGTTCTTGCACTCTACTCTTGTACAAAAAGCTCTTCTACACATAATGTAACACTAATATTATCATTCAGACAACTCTTATAATCATAATCTTATACTTCAATACTCTTATACAGACAAACAGCCAAATCTCAGCTTCTTAGTCTTAGTCTTAGCAAAACCAATATGCCCTGCTTTTGCCTTATCAAAGAATTTCGCAGAAATTAAATTTGAAAACGTGATTACTATATGCTATATATATATTAATATACTATATATCTGTTTAGGTATTGCGTATAAAATATATTTGAGAACAACAAACGTAAAATCGAAAACAAAAACAGAAGGAAAAAACTTCGATTAAACTTAGAATTTCGAAGATGCTGGTGATGAGCTGATCTCGCTGCGTCATAGAAATATTTTTGTAATATTCCCAGCATCATCATTATCATGCAAATCATAATCAATTTTCTATAAAAATAAAATAAATGTTTTTAGTTTTGTTTATTTACAACGGACAAAGAACCAAGACAAAAAAATCTAGAACCTGTTCAATAGGCAATATAAAGAACATATAAAATATATATAAAAAATAGGTATATATATAGATATCTGGCAATATTACTACCTGAACATGAGTCAGATTCGTTGCTTAAAGTGGGCCGCAAATAGAACGAAAAGAGAATCAAAGAAGACAACAAAAACAAAAACAAAAAGTGTGGGCGAGCGAAATTAGCATCTGATATTTTCGTACATACTATATAGTTCTATATCTGCGCCATTACACAACAGATGATCGAATGCCCGAATTTGTCAAAAAATAGAAAGAAAGAAAAAGCGAAAAAATGAGAAATTCCCAGAAAGAATTTTCAATTTTGGCATTTTCAATGTCAAACAAACAAAAGAAAGCAAAAGTTTGCGGCGACAGCGAACAAGTAGGAGTGTATCCAGTGGGCACTGAACGACTAGCAGTTACCCTGCAGACGTAGAAAATAATCTCATATAGCTCTAGAGTTATATAAGTATAGAAATTTATGTCTGGTCTTGCTATAGTTAACCCCATGTCTGAGTTACAGTTTGATGAAACTTTTTTATATCAATAGACCCTGTCTCAGCATTAGCTGATTGATTGAGACAGAGAAAGATATGTTGTATAGCCTATATACCGCTATGTTGAATATAAACAAATGTATATAAACTAAATACTAAATACAATATATATATCTAATTCCATCCACTCAATGGCCCTTAAAGAACATTCCACTCATAGTTCCTATGCCTGCATACACGTAGACCAAGTATAATGCAAGCAAAACAAAGAAGGACGCAAACACAAAGAGCATGAAAAAAAAATTACCAAAAAACCAAATTTTGTTACGTAATTTAACTAGCAGTAGAGAGAGACACTCTCTCCTTCTCACTCACTCCGTCTCTCTTGCACTCTCCAACTCTCTTTTGCTATGCTTGAGAATATGAATACTAAGATTACACACATGCACACACGCACACACACACACACTCAAATAAAGTTTGATAAGCAAAAAACGAACATCTGAAAGAACAAATTTATCTGCTGCTTATCAGAGTAAATCGCAACTCTTTTTCTACCTCCAGCAGATGGTTTCAAACTTCCTAACGAACGATGCTCGAATGATCCGACTCGACTCGACTCGACTCATGTGATCGTATATATATTATGCATGAAGCTCAGCCCCTCGCGCACATGGCCCAGGTTCAGTTACGTGGAAGTAAGAGAACGAGTCCACACACACACAGAGAGAGAGAGAGAGAGACGAATGCCTGGCATAACTTGTCAAACAGGATTATTAAGCAAAGTATGTCAGCGTTGGCTTTGCTTTAAAGACGCCATCTCAAGTGTAAGACAGAAAGAGAAAAAGAGATAGAGCGAAAGAGAGATAATCAAAAATAACTGACAGCTGGTCAGCAAAAGCCAGCAGCAGCCACCTTAACTGGTCACCCAACTCCAAATCACATGTAAATGATGCTGAACCAGCGTCTGGCTGATCACACTTGATCGAACGACCTTTTTCCCTTCATTGGGCGAGAGTGAAATCGAACTTTCCCAGGAATTTAGACGAAGATGTCAGAAGCGACGATCTAGCATAGTGAACCAGTTCGCATTTGAAGCTCTAGCAAAGATTTGTTTTCTTGGTGAACCAGTTCATCAGGGCACCAGTTCGAACTTGATGGATAAAATTACGTATATATAATATATTTGTTCTTTTTGAGAACCAGTTCCAAAGTGAACCGGTTCGTATTTGTTCTTCTAGCTTAACAAGTTATTTCTTAACCTACTTAAAAACTATTTAAAATAAATATGAAAATTATTAAACATTAAATTTGAGTTTCTTAAGATTCACATCTAATCATAATTCAATATAAATTGCATTAATTTTTCATAATTTATTATTTATTTATAAATTATAATGTAGACACTTCACATATCTTTTGTACTTGATGCACTTAAAATGTCCCCTCTTTATCACACACACACTGCACGTTCATATCGCAGACACACACTCATAGTGTGATAAGACATAAATACATTCACATTGTCTGGGCCGTTGCCATGTGCCTATGGCCAGTAAAAGTCCAGCATAGGCACAACTCCACATTGTCTACATGATGCATACATATGTATATTCATATATATATAAGCCTTATCAATCGCAAGGTATTCCCTGCCATAAAGCCTAGCACAATGCTGACAATGCTAGCATTTTTGTATTAATCGTAAGTTCCAAGAGCCATTTGCCATCTCCCTCTTTCGCACAGTATTTATGCCAATTCACTTACTTGCACTTACACATGTACATGTGCGTGTGTGTGTGTGCTAGTTTGCATGATTCTGTCATTAGTTTTCATTAGCTGCTGGTCTTAAGTAAATCATCTTGACACTCACTGCATGCGCCCACTGCACTTGTCCGCTCTCTTCAGCCCGCTTTCACGCGCTCTCTCTCTCTCTCTCTCTCTGTATCTCTTTCTGCAACAAAGTTGTAAGCACTTAAACCCACCCTCCACCGACTTTGATCCGAACTGGAATGCAAGGAAAGCAGCAGAAGAGAGGCTCATTGTGGTTTGCGCTACGCTCTCTGCCAGACGCGGCACATCGATTCGATTAATTGAGTTATTTGACTATGCGCATAGGCGCAGAGCATCTTCGCTGTCGCATAGGCGTTACTGCAAATTTATTAACTCGATTATCGCGGAAGCGCATTCAAATAAAAGCTTATTGGAAGTGCAATGTGCCGGCTCTTTCGCACTTGTGCGACGCTTTACACGTGCCATTTGGGAAGGTCGAAGAGAGAAACACGCGCCTTCCACACCCAGAGAGGGGCAGCGGGAGCTTATAATTGCAAATAAGAGTCGGCGATCATTTATACTATATTTATTTATTTATTCATTTTTTCTTTTTTTCCTATATAAATCAAAGTCGATTTCAAGTTGAAGGAAAAATTGCCTGCGATGTGATCAATCAATAAATTAATAAATAGATATTTCTAGATAAGAGCGAATTCTTTACAGATGCTTTGCATTTCAGTTATTTAAGCATTATATCAGTATTAATAATTGGAATTTAATTATAGTACAAAATATTTATAAATATATTTATTATTACAATTATTATTATTTATTACAATTATTTTCTTTTTTTAACAATGAATAAAATGTTTCCCTCAATTCTCATTTTATTTTCGTTTGGAAAAAATAGCTTTATTTGGCAAACCTTTTCTACCAGACACTATCTCAAACACAATCTATTAAAACCCGCTCACCAAACACTCAAGATATCAGCAACTGGTAAAACAGTCATAAATACACACACACATACGCACATATACACACTCATAGATACCACCAGCAGCTATAGATAAAGCATTTACATAAACATTTATATAAGCTCGCTCAATACTTATCTCTCTCTCTCTCCCTGTCTCTTTCACTCTCTTTCGTTCTTATCAGACTCCACTGATCAGTGTTTTAATCGACCCATTTAATAAAATCATTAGAGCTTAATCATACTTCAATGTCAATATTAAGAGAGATTACAAAAAAAGGACAACTTAAACTAGAAATTTAATACTAGAAGCGAAAAAAAACAATACAATACAAACTCTGTTAAATTTAGTATGTTTCTGAATAGAAATATAAAGAACTCCCTCAATTTTGAAGAGCTAAAGCTCAAAAGTTTTCGGTCAAATATTCAAATACAACAGAAACTTTCAATATTTAAGTAAAACAGAAAATTTTGATATTTAATTTAGAATATTTTGCAACTTTTACGAACTCAAATCAAATTCTTTCAAAGCTTTGAAGTGTAACTAATATACCAGACAAACGATTGGAAGGGTAAAACGGGCAAGAGCAAATGAGAACAGGGACAGGGAGTGGGGGGAGCGGGAAACAGCAGCGAGAGAGCGAGGCGACACGCGCTATAGTCTTCGCTATCAGCGACGCATGCTATTTATAGACACATTATCAGGCGTGCTCTAATTAAGATCTCTGCACTGAGCTTTCAAACAAAATGTTCACTAATCAAAATCGAAGCGCTGCAGTCCACTGAATTGCTGCCTCTCCAATTGGAGTTATAAACATAAATACGTATTTACAAATATTCGAATTAGATAACAAAACTTTTAAATGCTGGCATTTGGTTAAGTATTATTTATATTCAAATCAGAATTCGAATACTATCAAAATGAAAGCGCTGCAGCAAGGTATCTAGCTGACCAATTGGAATACTATTGATTGAATATGCAGAAGCAAAACTACCATTAATTGGAAAAACTCTTATTAGAATGTAAATGCAAATTAATATTAGGGTATGAGAACATTTCTATTGGAGAATACTCAACAGCAGCAAAAAATCTAATTATTATTATTAATTATTATTATGGAGTGCGCTTTTAAATGAATATGACTATAAGACTTTTAGCTCCCTTGGTGACAAGCCTTAAAGCCGTTAATTGAACACAAATCTTGAATGTGTGCATTCTCTTATTAGAATATATGTACATATTTAAGTATTTACCTATATCGAGCCAATAGGAAGTTGTGTCAAAGCTTTGCTGCTTGTTGTTATCGTTCCTTTTGAGTTTGTTGTTTTGTTGTTCTGCTGTTGTTATTAGCTGATATTATGCACTGTTTTTGTTATTATTATTCTTTGTCAACACTTTTACGTCAGTCGCTTTATAGTGCATTTATTTACTAATTAAATACACGTTGCATTTGTTGTTGTTATTCTGAGCAAAACTTGTGCCGGTTTTGTGTATTAATTATTATTATTATTTAGCTTCGTTTTTTTTCTTGTGTTAAGGCTAACTGGCATAATTTCTTGCTCTCTCTCACCCACACATACACGCACGCACGAGTATGTATATCGATAAGCATATATGTATGAATGTATGGACGTATGTATGTATTTAGTTGCTCACACTTGCATAAGTATTTATACACTTGTTGTTGTTGTTATTTTGTGGGCGGCTTTTGCTGTTGCTTGAGCTATAAGCATACAAATTAAAAATGATATTTACTTAACGAATAAAGAAAAGAAGAAGAAAACACCAAAAAAAAAAAACAAGAGCAATAACAAGAGCAATTTATGTAGAAATGTAAATACGTATAAAAGAGCGCGCGCGTTGCTTTGCGAAAAGAGAGAAGCGCATAGAGAGAGAGCGAGAGAGTGGCATCAAAAGAGAGAGTGAGCGTGAGATCGCGTCACGTCACCAATTCATGCCAATTGGACGCATACAGAAATTAATTGGAATTCGTATAAGAATTCAATGAAAGCGTGCGGCGCAGTTGACGTCGACGGCACAAGCACACACACTAAGGATCACATACACAAACATCTGTACAAAAGCTTATGTAGATAGAACACACAATTTTGTATGTATGTACGTGTGTGTGTTTAAAGTTCAAATGGAAAAATTTATATGTATATGTATGTATATACACTCATATAAGCACGTTTACTGTTTTTTTTTTGTTTTTTTTTTTTGCTTTGCTCAAATTTGAATTTGAGCAGCTATTTTGATTTTGCACTAGTGTGTGTGTGTGTGTGTGTGTGTGTGTGTGTGTGTGTGTTAGTGTGTGCGTAGCTGCCGGCAGCAGTAAATTTCCAAAATATAAAAAAAAACGAAAAAGCTCCAATGAGAAAAGATCACTCCAGCCTTTGCTACGGTATTTTGTTTTTTTTTTCTTCCAATTTCTTACTACGCATTCTTCAAACACTATTTCTTCTTTTTATTATTATTGCTCTTGTGGGTTTGTATTTGTGTGTGTATGTTTGTGTGTATTTTGATTTATGCTGTGTTCACTTTTTCACATGAAAATGTTTTGATATTGAATTTTGCTCAACTCTTTACTTTTGAGTTCACTCATCGTTTGCATAGCAATGAATACAATTGTTGCGGGGGGTGGGTCAGGGCGAGGGAAGAGGGGAAACACGTGATCAACCGTATCGGTTTTGGGCTCGAAAGAATTTGGTGACGTTGGGGTTAAGTAGCGCGCTTAACGCTGATCGACCTCGTGGCTTTTAACCGCAAACGCAACGGACTCTGCTCGTTAACTGCTTTCTAGTTGGATGCGAACTGACAACTGATTGGTATACGAAACGCTACAAAACGAAGCAGCGGCAAAACGACAGCGTCGTCGTCGTCGGCGACAGCGACAACGACGAAGCGACACGAACAGCTAGCCACTAGCCAGCCAGCGCGCCCGCCCGGCACGTCTCTCGCGCTTGTGGCTGTGCTGGTGGTGTGGGCTATACAGATGTTGAACGCTGAGAGACAAAGCTCTCTCATTTGTTAGTTTCGTGCATGTGTGTATTTGTGTATATGTGAATGTTTTGAAATCCACATTTGAGTTCCACAAAAATGCACGTTTTGTATTTTGGCGCTCACATATTTTTACAACACATACCAGCACTCACACACACACACACGCAGCAATTGAGTAACAAAGACCATTGTATGTGTATGTGTGTGTGTGTATGCTTGTATAAATGAATAGTTTTCTAGTTTGTTTTGCCTGCCACCTTCTTTGGCGACGATTTGAATGTGGAAGCGATCAGTTCCAACAAATTTCCAGCACGCCGCTGATAAGTGGCAAATGGGCCAAATGCTGTTATCTGCGCGCGCGTCGCAGTCGCTGTGGGAAATTTACCGAAAATTTGCAGTCGAACAACAAACAAACAAAATAAATAAAAAAATGTTTGCTAGGCACGCGCATTCATAACACGAATTTTATTAGCAGCCAGTTCCGTCGCATAGACTGGTTCGTGCATTTGCTCGGACATTTGAGTTGTTAATGTGGCTGCCACATAAATTCCACAAATTACGCTGCTAATGAAGTCTAGACGTTCGAGCTTAAGTAAGGCTTAGCGGTTTATGTCCCAGACTCCGATACAGATGCATATACGAAAGTGCTCGAGGCTGTGCTCGATGTCAATTTATGCGTCAGTTATCAATTTTTCGTTCTATTCGTTAACTGTTATGTTATGTTCAGCTTCTTCGTCTTCCACATTGATTCTATGCTAGACTTCTTTTAGAATTCCAAAGTTTCTTGCTCATTTTTGAAATTGATGCTATGAACTTGCGCTTTAGAGTTGAACCAGTTTGTGAACCAGTTCAAAATGCTGTTAACTTAAATAAAGCACATGCTAATTAAAAATATTGTCAAAAATATTGGAAGTTTAATATGCTAATTTGCGATTCACAACCGGCTAATAACTTTATTATATTTTCTGTATATCTCTTTCGTTTATTATAAGCCAGAACTATGAACAACCTTTGACAGATTATTTATCCTGCATACATACATATCAGTTACGTTGCGTTGTCGCTTGTCTAATTTTCCAGTTTGGAAGGCGTAAACGCTGGCGTCGCGCAGTTGTAGCTAAAATTAGCTCAGGCTTCGGGGAGAGCTTGACTTTTGACAGCTTTTGTGACGTCACAAGCATAATGGGCGGACAGCAAGTGGCGTTTAAAGCGTAGCCAATGCTGCGCCCACGTTACCTTCCACAGCGCATGCGCCACTGTCGCTGCCTCTGCCAACAGAGCCAGGTCCAAAGCTTCATTCCACAATTGACGACGTAGTAAAAAATTAGCGCGACGTCGGCTCAATTGGAACTAGATGGGAGTAATGATATCAGCCGCGTCAAGTGGCCTTCAAAAAATTATAATTTCTGTTTAATAGCTTCGTCGACTGTGGCTGGAATGCGATGAGAGGGGCAACGGTAGAATAGACGTAGCCCTGACTGTATATAGAATGTTTGCTCTCAGTGTCTGTCTCCGTGTGCGTGTGTTTGTGTGTTTGTGTTTGAGTGTGTGGCGTATCGAATTTGAATACGGGTACTAACAATTTGTTGGCTGGATGGTGTCTAAACTGGAATATAGATTGGTTATTTGGTACGTCTTTGCGTGTAAGTGTGTTTGTGTGTGTGTGTGCTGAATGCGAAATAAGCAGGAATATTAAATTTATTACTCTTATATATGCGAAATATAGGAGTTACCAATATTGAATAAACTCTTTCTTATTCGAGTCCCGCACACTTAGCAATGGCTACTATGTTACGTAATTCATTATCTTTAACTGAACTAATGAGAGGTGATTAATTAAGCGCCGTATGTAATTGATGCAATCACACATCAGCGCACGACTCAAGAATTGACGCAATTGAGAGAAAATTTGTAATTCAAACCACAGTCCCCTCCGCCCGCTGTGCAGCTAACGGCGTCAATGAAAGTGCGACTTAGTTTGAGTCTATGGAAACTGGAAATTCTCGCAGCGTTCGCTGATGACGTCTCTTAATATGCAAATGGCAACGGGACACGCACACACAAAGGCAACCACACATGTCTGTAGCTGTGTGTTTGCATGTGTGTGTATGTAAATTTGATGAAGCACTTCCTGATGCCGCTAGAAGACGGGCTACAGCTACAAGATATTAAGATAAAAGTAAAAAGAGCGTGGCGCTCTTGCGGAATGGCATCCACAAGCTTAGGCTTGGCATCCACAACAGCCGCAAACTGAAACGAACTGGCGTTTCGCCAACACAAAAAACCACGTGGTCTCTCAAGTTCATAGCAGAGCAGAATAGCGAAAATAGACAAGGCGTAGAGCGCGCATAACAAAAAAAAATAGGCAAAAGAGCGAAGCGTATAAAAATATACTTATACATGCACATAAACACACACATGAGCGTATATATGCGTGTGTGTGTGTTTGTACGTACATACATATGCCATGTGAATTGAAGAAAACCACATGCTGTGCGAAAATATTTGGGTTGGGGGCAACAACGATGACGATCCGCTGGCAGAGACCGCAGAGAGTGCAGCAAACAGGTTACGTACCGGCAGCAATGAAAACAAAAAAAAAAAAACAAAAACAAAAGCAAAGAAAGCGGAAATAAAACACAAATACTCGAAAAGTTTTTTTATATTTTGTAAACAAACCAGAGCACTTTGACTGGAGTTCAAAGCGAGAAAAGAGAGAAAAGCGTGCGCGCGATCAGTGAAGAATGGCGCCCACAAAAAAATATGAAGCTAAACCAGAAATACAAACACATACCCATATATATATACATACTTATATATATATATATATATATAAGTATCTGGCAAAGTGCCAGCTACAAAGCGGCATGAAGTTAGAAAACAAAATTAAAAACCTAACCTTACCTAATGTGGTATGAAATGACACGCACAGCTACACACACACACACCTAACATATACATACAAGTAAAAGTAGCGCAAAAACGTGGCTTGTGCCGCCGACTGCGACTGCGATGTCGGCGTCAATTGCGTCGTTTAAAATACTAACGAAAAAACGAGAAAAAAAACAATCGCATGTTGCTGCTGGAAGAACGAAAGCAAATAGAACTGTGAACATAAAATAACGCAAAGAGTTAACGCTAGCAAGGTAGAGTGAGATGGAGCTATGAGCTATGGGTGCCCAATTAATGTGAATAAAAGAAATGCGGTGCTTCTCTCCAATTCATTTACATAACTACATAAGTGTGCATGTGTATACGTGTGTGCACTTGTGTTAGCTAAAGAGTATACATTACAGCTAAACAAATTAATCTAGTACAACCTATTAAGCTTTTTTTGCTGATTACCACAGCCATTATGTTCCACATGACCACTTGTATGATTTTTTACTTACACTCCACAAATGTTCTCTGCTACTCGCACATACACATGCGTGCACACGCACACGCACGCGAACGTTTGCTCTCTCGGGGCAGCAGGCAGCTACTTACTTTCTCTCGGCTTTTCGTTGCGTGCACTCTTCTTCTTACGACAAACTTTTCGCAGCTTCGTTCGTTCGTCTCACTCAACCCCCGAAATGCATTCGCCCGCTGACTGACTCGCTTGCACTCGCTGCTCTACTATGCGCACACGACAGAGATGGACAACTTTGCCAAAGTCTTGCCTATGACAGGTAATGGTAATACGTATACGCCACCGGGCCGGGGCATTTGACTGTCTTGACACACATTCGTTTCGGCTGTGGGTCGGATGGCTGCAGCTGCGGTCGGCCGCTGTCGGCCGTTAACTGTTGGTTAATATCACCTCCAGGCTGTCGGTGGGTGTGGCTCTGCCGGCTTGCTTCGACCAGATCCAGGAGTCTGCGCAGCTCGTCCTTTGTTCCCATAGGTCCGTTCGTGGCGCTTAATTGTTGCCTGGTTGGTGCCAGGCCGAGCCTCCTGGTTGGGCAGCTGCCGAGGCGAACGCCTTCCGCGGCCTAGGCGCCTCGTTCACAGGGCCAGCAACCGTCGGGCTTTGGACTCCGCTCAGCTGAACTTATGCCGACGGGTTTTGTATAGGGGTGGTTTCTGCTGCCTAGCGGCGTGTCCTTGGGCCTACACACACGCACACATTCACAGCTATATTTTGTATACGCAGGTAGCGCTATGTCTGTTAAGGTTAGCAGCTTGTATTGTGCCGTTATGTCGAGCCCCATCGTCGTAATCCTTCGTGTCATCGCTTAAGCACTTATGCTCACAGCAGTTGCTGGCCAATACCATAGGTAGATATAACACGCCACAATGCGCAGCATAATAATCATTCCAAATTACGAAACATCATCAGCTTCAAGGCGCTGCCATATCAACAAGTGTCCCTCATTCCCCCTCTAACGGTTAGCCATTAGCAAATTGAACAACGCCTATGTGGGCGTCAAGAGAAAGGATGATAGAAAGAGAAAGAGAGAGAGAGAGAGAGAGAGAAACAGAGAGTTGTTGGTTTTGCTAAATTTAACATCTGGCTGGCTAACTGACCTATTTAAGCCATTAGAAAACAAGATAAAAACTGTTAATTATGCTCAAATTTCTGCGAACTATCAGCAAAGAGGAAGATCTAACAGAAAAAATTAATACTCTATGTTAGATATATGTCAATATTATGATTATGCAAGAGACAGCAAGAAATACAGCGAAGAGTATTTCTCACAGACCAGATAGAAAACCCGGGAGCCAGAGAGTTACTTCGAAATTTTGAAGAGCATTTCATATAGAACAGCAAGAAAACCTGGAATCTCTATCAGAGATTAAAATCTCCACTAATCTGTTGAAATACTAATCTGTTTAGCCAACATCA